ATTGAAACTTCAACATTTTCACAACGTCTTTATAACAAATAAAATAATTTTTCGTGAATTACATAATAAAATAATTTTATATATTTAATTGAATTTAAAATTAAATATGATATTACTTTGACATTTAAATTTAATTTAAAAAGAATTATGTAACTAAAATTATTGTTATAAAAACTAAATGGTTTTACAATTAATTAAATTTAACGATTTTTATATTTTTATAATAGCTTTATGTACAGTAGCCCTTAGGATGCATCGCTTGTACGGTTGCAGAGCAAAAGAGGCAACCGAATTCGCCACGAGGCTCTCGCTACGCCGCTGGGCTACTCCACGCCGTTCACGCGCCATCTTTCCCCATTCGTGTCCCTTTTTTTCCTCCCTTCGCGCACGACCGTCCCTTAGGCGCGCATATGCGCGAAAGGCCAGCATTCGGAGTATTCGGACGCGGAAATGTCCATGTAAATCTCTTTTTTTTCTTTTTCTCCCGATGCCTCGAGGATAATCGTCTGCACGTTGCCTCCTCCTCCTCCTCCCGTTCCCTCGCCCCACTTCTCTCTCCGCGTGGCGTTTCGCACCCATTTTCTCTCTCTCTCTCTCTCTCTCTCTCTCTCTCTCTCTCTCTCTCTCGCGTCACCCAGCGGCGTTCGCCGTTCGAGGAGGATCGGTGGTTATAAAACGGCGACTGTGACAAGTGCGCGCGACACACCGTACCGTGCCGCGCGGAAGCCGGGCTCGCTTTACTCCGGTTCGGAGTCAAGCCTCGTCGCGAGCGAGCGAGCGAGAGCGAGAGTGAAGAGCGAAAGCGAGAGCGCGACGTCACCGATCGTTCGAAATCGCCGACAATCCTCGATATCGTTCCGCGCGCGGCACACTGTATGCTCCCGATCGATTCGCGGAAACGCGACGCTTTATCGCGCCGATTCTCTCACCTCTCGAGTATCTGTCCCTCCGGTTTTAGTCGCCGCGATAACCACGGCGTTGCTCGCCGAGCGATCGGACGAGACGGGACGGGACACTTCTCGCGACGGACAATGATGACGGTTATAACGAGACGATATTGTCGATAACCGTAGAGAGATCGACGGTCGCGTGTCCGCCCCGCGCCCGCGCGCCTATCCTCTCTCTCTCTCCCTCTCGCTCGTTTTCGTTCTCTGGCTCTTTCTCTCTCTCTCTCTCTCTCGCTCGCTCTTTTTCCCTCTGTCTCTCCACGCTCGTTCGGCGTTCTCTTACGATATACTTTATCCTCGTGAGATCACCAGGCGAAGATCGTCGGCTCACGCGCCACCCCTTCGATATTATCGCGCGCCGGGCGTGAAAGAAACTCGGGAAGATCGTTAGCGTCGGTAGCGGGTTCGCGAGACGCGAAAAACGATATTGGGTGGTGGCCCCGTGGCTAACCGTGGCGCGCACGCTACCGTTGCACCGGAACGATTTTCCCCGAAGCCGAACCCGGGAGTGACTAAAATCGAAATCGGTGAACGAACAGGGGCGCGTCGGGGCGCGCATGTGCGGCGACGGCGTCGCCGGTTGTCGACGCATATTATCCGTGCCGCGTCTCCGGCTCCTCCGGCCCGTCCGCGCCGCTATCGCGTGCGCGCGCGTGCGTGCCGTCTCCCTCTCTCCCTTCTTCTCTCTCTCTCTTTCTCTCTCTCTCTCACTCTCTCTTTCTCGCTCTCTCTTTCTCCTTCCCGCCGTCTATCTCCCAACTCTCCACCACTCGGAATTACTAACCGACCTGACGATGTCCGACGCCGACCCGAAACGCCGCCTACGACACACGTGAATTCCGATCGATCGGAGCGTCCGGCATTGTCGACCGACTCTATCGGCGCGCTCGGCTCGCACCGCTCGCACGCCGCTTCCCGGCCGCCTATCCCGCTTCCGTTTTCTTCCGCCGGCTTCGCCGCAGCACGAGTGCAGCCGGACTCCGGAGTAGTCCGGAGTAGGGCGCCCGGCCGGCGCAGGCCGGAGTATCGGAGTCGGAGTCGGAGTCGAGCAGAGTGAATTCTTCACGTAATCGAAAAGATATCGCGGAAGCGTTGAGAGAAAGAGAGAGAAACGAAGCAAGATTCGACTCGCGTCTCGCAATTCGATCCTCGTATTTGTGACAAAAGACATGTGCGCGCGCGCGCAGAATGGAGGAGCCGTTCGGCGCCTCGTAAACGACGAGCAGAAACGTGACGGGAGCCATAGGCGTCCATAGCGGGGGGCAAGACGGGGCACTTGCCCTCCCTCCCTGGAATCAGCAAAAAATGAAGCATTTATTTTCCCTTTAAATAAAGAAAGAACAAAGTTGTGCTAACCTTGCCTAGGAAAATACATTTTTTTTTATTTTAATAAAATTTTAGTTTTTCAATGCCTGCCTTGTTTAAATTTAATTCATTTCACCTGCTATTAAAAAATCAAATAAGATCTCAGTTTTACTTTATTTAATCAACGCCTGCCTTTGCTTTCTACAAATGAGATTGCAATAAATTGTGCGAATAAAAAAAGTGTTCCAGGGAAGTTGTTGAAACTAAACGCGTCTCCACGACTTAGGTAGATATTCTATTGTCCGTAGTCTTGTACTTAAAAGTAATAAAAAATTAAAATAAATTAAAAAACGCAGAAACCTTTCTCATCTTGTCGCAGTGAGAAAGCTTACTATACTAAAAGGTGTATAAATTTTAAATTATAAGTATTCTAAATCTAGAAAGTAACATATTTTTAATCATATCCCCCCCTCTGAAAAAAATCCTGTGGACGCCCTTGAGTCGGGAGCGTCGTATTTTTGGAACGTAATTCTCGAACGCGCGCGGCATCATCGTGGGCGAACGTTCCCGCGTCTGTCTTCCGTAACTTTGCTCCTTTTTAATCGATTTGAGGAATAATGCGACACATACGGTATGTGTCGTCGAGGCACACAAAGACGGACTGTAAAATTCGTGAAAATGATCATTAATCGCGAGAGATCTCGCTGGAAAATATCAATATTTATTTATCGCGTGTTACAATGCGGACGTGTACGTTTTATCTCCATCAATTAACAATTTATCCACGAGTTTTCGTATATCTCTATATGACTTTTTAGTGATTCTATAAAGTTTGATTCTTGCACTTTTATTCGTATTGCTCCAAACTACGGATTGGGATTGAGATTGGATTGAAATTTAATCAATTTAGAATAGAGAAAACTGATCTCAATTGTTTAGTGAACTTTGCTCTGATTGTCAAGCATAATCAATTATAATCCATCATAATCAATTATAATCCAATCTCAATCCCAATCGGCACGCCGTAGTCTGATATGGGCTTTAGTGATTCTGCTGAAAAATGACATTCTTCCAAATATTCGTTATAGAGATGTGCAGACTATTCAAAGACGAATCGAATCGGGTGAGATGCGATTCGATTCAACTTCGAATTTCTATTGTTCGAATTTGAAACTATTCGAAAATTTTGAATTTTAATAATTCGAATACAAATCATATATATTGTGAATTTTATAAAATCATATTTCCCGTTAATAAGCAAAACAGTACGGTCATGTTAATATAAGTGAATTCACAACATTATTACAATCGCTCACTGAACCGCCAAGTAATAGTCAAATATGAGTAATTTTTTATATTGTACAGTATGAGTATTGATAATAAAATTGTATATTATTTTATTTTAATTTCTATGTAATGGATGTATGTAATTGGATAATGTTATTGAATAAACTACATCATAGAGTATTTGGTAATTATGCAGAAATAGCCACTCCCGATTTCAATAATTTCGAGATATGTCATCAAGCTAGGTCATCATCCTAAGTAACCTTCAAAAGGTTTTAGCCGACGGTCATTGTTTGTTAAAAAATTATTAACAAAAAAATAATTCGGTGAAATAATCCCAAATACTGCCAAATGAACATATCTAAAAGATTTCTTGGCGCAATTAAAAATTAACCGAGATAATACTAAAATAATAAATCTTAGACCTCGTATCTCCTTGTAAGCAGGAGGTGGGGTGGGAATGGTGGGATGGACTCGCTTCGTGTGTGGAAAGTTGAAAACCCAAAAAGTTATTAACAAAAAAATTTAAGAAATAGAGAATTACGTTCTTTCCAGTGTTTATTGTCTGTTGCGATAAATATTACTACCAGCCTCACATGGATAAGACATCTCTGTTTCGGAAAATAGGAGGGTCCAGTTCCGAATTCTGCAGGCTGGAATATTTTTCGCCATAAATTGTCTTGTAGATTTACAAGATGTTCGTTTAACGTTAGTAATTTTATACTGTATATCGATATAATAATGCGAAACAAAATTTCTAGTTAATAACCAGAGTTCTAATTAATAATAAAATTGCTATTCGGTATAAGCAAGACTATACTCCTTTCAAAACCGAATAGCAATCGACACGTGATTCAAAAGCATATAAAGGCAAATTATATAAAATCGCAAATATTATCTTTAGACGCAAGATCCCGATAATCGAAAATTTATTTATTCAATCAAAAAATCGAAAAAAATTCAATGTGAAAATACAGCAAAAGGCGTTGTACACCGATAGTTTGCTTTCGGAAATAGATATAGACATGCGACATAGACACGATGCAAATACGAAACAGATAAATATTACCGATTTTATGTGCCTTGTTTTTTTACGGCTTCTCGACGTAGCATTCTTCTTTTTAATGAATAGATTTTATTAACGAATAAAAAATTTCGTCAACGAATAAACTGTTTAATGAAATTTATTTCTAGGATAAAGATAGCGAAACACTCATTCGTAATGATTCATCAATTTTAATGTAATTTGCATAATAGCATAGTATAATATTAATTAAATTAATTATACATATTAAATATTGTTTTTCTTGTATGCACTGTGTAACCGAGTAACAATACAGACGAGACTAGTAGAAGGTGACCTTTGTAGCACTACCCCTCTTTTACTCCTTGGCGCAGAATTAATATTATTTGTCGTTTTTCTCTTTTACGTTGTTAACACGGAATATCTCCGTTACATTTATGCTTATCTATCTCCAAGTGTATGCTTTCATTCTCGAAGCACGACAACGTTTCATCGATCGTAAAACAGAAGGGGAAGCCCCGCTCCGATTCAATAAATTATTTTACTCAAAAAATAGTCGATACACAAAGAGCTAATTAAATGAAAAAAAGCATTAGTGTATCATCGTCATCTCAAAGGCAAGGGCAGCAACGAATTGTCAGTTCGGCGATACGACTGTCGGGCGCAAATATTCGCATTCATATTTTCAGAAATGATGAAAGCGTACTTTCAAAAATATCTAGATGGCCAGATCTGTCGAAAGCAGATTTTGTGAAGTTACTGCTACAAGTTTTGTCGGCATAACGAGATCTATTAACAGAATACGATAGCAGATTGACTGCAAAAACTAAGCAGAAGCTGCCATTTCTTAATCGTCTAAGTGTCTAAGTGATATATTCCATTTCACTCAATTTCTACTGGCAATCCGCTGTCAAATTGTGTCAGATTATAGTAAGGCTGTGTGGCGGGACGCGAGCTTAATACGAACGCAGTCGATCCGCCGCGATGTTCTGCTCGAATCTGCTGACAAATTGCTAGCAGTTTTATCTCCATTAATTAGTAATTTATCCACGAATCTTCATGTTAGGTGTATTTATACATAGACATTTTTGGCGACTCTAATTTGGACCTTGATGGTTTTGCATTTTTCATTCGTACCGCATGTCAGATCGATCAATCTTATTTCAGGACAATTCAGTAAGTTGCCGATGCCTTCAAAATTCGTCAAACATTGATCCTGTGACAATAGGATGTGTAAGATACGTAGAGATATTTCATTAAAGTGGACTGTAACTGTAGCGTAGCTTTTTTGAGAGACAAGTTATCGTAAGGATGTTGACTTCTCGTTGTTCCGGACAAGACGCGTTTATGGCTAAAAAATTTTCGCGTTTAGTGGCAGTTTTTAAAAAAGAAAAAGCTGTACATCTGTCGTCGCAACTTGTTGTCATATTCATTCTAACTATCTTATTATATGATGTCGTCTCTATGTGATCGGGTTTCTTGTACGTGTTATTTCTAAATAGTCGATTTAGCGACAATTTTCTCGCTTCTGTATGCGTGACCACAAGTCATACGTGCGGTCGTATAGCAAAATATCTATCTAGGTATCTTACGTCACAGAGTAAAAAGGAAAAAGAATGTCAGATACCGACAATACAAAGGCACGACGACAATACGGCTCCTTGACGCGTCGTGTCGTGAGAACGGTGATTACTCGCGAGCGTTTTTACCATACCGAAAACCGACTAGTTGGACTAAGAAACGAGCGATAGCAATGATCGAGCGCGTGCCGATGTAACTTGGCTCCTTTTATTTATTAGAAATTGACGTTGTGCAAAGTATATCAATGTACGATGACGCTAACAGAACAATCGTGACGATGCGCGTTTATTTTTATTCTAGCGTAATGGAACACGCAATGACGATTACATCGCTATATCGGAATTCGAAAAACGGCCAATTTTCGTGACAATCGCGACGGTTCACACGAGGGGCAACAAGGAATAACATCGGTAATGTAATAATAATTATTGTAATATATGCAAAGTGGTGGAGCGTACTTATATATTCGCGGGGAGACAGTTCCATCATGGAATTCTTGTCTGATCGAATCAGTAACCGGCACTCTTTCGGGAATCAAGTATCTGTAACCGGCGTTGTTACTTGGCGTCGGTTATCAACATCGAAAAGGCCAATCGATGGGTATGTAGGTAGCGCTTTATCGTCGAAGACGCTGAGCAACGAGGTCGAAGAACAAATCGCACCTTTAAATAGCGGCCGTTAACTAACGGCCGCTTTGCGTTACGCTGATCGCGATCATCGACCGAGCCCGTTCTGAGCCGTCAAACAATCAAGCGGCATATGCGAAGTACGATGGACAGCAGCGAAAAGAAGGCTCCCCGCGCTGCGGAGCTGCGTAACAGCAGGACGCGTAGCATTATTATCAGTACCCCGAGTTGCACGGCCTTATGAAGCCAGTATAATCTGTAAACAAATAAGCAAATCAGGATTCGAAAAGTAAGACGCGTAACCTTCTTCCATAATAAAATAGATAGAATAAGAAAATTGGTTTATTATCGTTTTAACTCAATCGTATTATTTCTGAGAACATTAACATAAATATTTATAGTAAAATAATATGAATAGATGATAGTAATAAAGAAACAAAAAATGCGTGTATTCAACATTAACATAGTCATTAAAAATAATTGTTTAAATAAATAGGATAAGAACAAAAAAAAAAAAGAAATCACATAGAGAGAAAGAGATAAATTCTATAATATAAGTTCTCTAAATTCTAAAAATATAAATATAAATTCTATATTGAAAACATTGACAAATGTTGCAAATGATTGAAGAATCTTTCTTTAATACTGATTCTGATTTCCGAACAGACACCAGGAAAGAGTTCTACAAAGAACTACCGCGTTGTAACAAAACGATTGCTGAAAAGCAAAAAATATGTCTTACTTTGTGATGTATGAACGAGCAGCTGGCAGTGTGTCCGGACTCTCTTTCAGGATAAACTGTCGTATTCCCAGAATGTAATGCTCCAAGTACGATGGCCAGTCGATTTGCCTAACATCGAACATGAATGTTTCTCGATCTTCCGGACTGAGTTGCTCACCCAGTCGTCGCACGTTGTCGTCTCTAAAATTCCACTGTTTCGTACTGAAGTACTCCAAACACTTGGCGGCTTTGGAAAGTTTCGTCTGCAGGCGGACCATTATAGGCCGCGAGCCCTTGAGCCGTGCAAGAGTGTCTAAGATATACGCAGGTAGTGTGTGCTGAAATGTCACGCACAATTTGTTTATCATGGCGGAGCTATGGCAACGACCGTCCGGATACCAGAGCACATTGTCCATCGGGTGTAGCCGGCAATATTTAAACGACAGGTCGACGAACTGCTTCCAAGTTATTGGATTTTGCTGGCCGGTGCAACAATTGTAGATCGGAATGGTGTCGGTGCGTTGCGTGGCGGTCCTCCATGCCGCGCAAATCATTAGGTTGATCACAATGTCGACGGGCACCAGATCCGCCACTTTGTCCTCGTGGCATAGCATAGTTCTGCAAGCAAGAGATCGCAATTTGTAACAGAGATTTATTCGCACGAGAATAATGACTTACGAAGATTGTGAGCGATATTGAAATAACAATACCGAGAGACGTCAGAGTATTCATTCTAATTCTTTTATGATACCGATACTAGCGATCGCTAATTATGGCCGCCCGTTGTCATCTCACCTGAAGAAGCCTTTCCCAGCGGCGGCGATAATCCCCGTAGGGCCGTTGCAATTGTCCACCCAACCGGCGACCGGTTCTCTGTACGACGACAGCACGATCGATGGCCTGACAATCGCCACCGGTAAAGAACCCCTTTCCCGCTGGAGCATTCGCTCGGCCAGTGCTTTGGTAAATGTATATGTGTTTGGTCGACTGGCGATCAGATTTGGCGTGAGTTCCTCAAACATTTTGTCGTCCATCCATTCCGTCAGAGCGATCACCTGATCAGGTTCCCGTCCCACCGGATAAATCTCCTCGGCGACATCGGTCCGATCGCAATTACAATATGCCGTTGACACGTGAATAAACGCCTGCGATCAAACATTTGCATTTATCACATATAGCAGCTATAAATTGTTAAAAATACGGAATGCGTACGTTCATTCTTTTGCCTCGTGTCAATCGAACGTGCGCTTGTAATGACGATAATGCGTAAAAACGTCGACGAAAAAAATTCTAAGTAAAGTATACCTCAAAAAAGAAAAAAAAAGAACAAAGAAAAGACACATAAGAGAAAAATAAATATCAGTGTTTGATGATCAATAGCGCGCAGTGCCATCAAGTTGTACAAGTTCTCTGCTCCTTGATTGTCACATAAAAGAGATCGTAAAATTTATCAGAGACAATTATCTGCGAGTCGCGTGAGAATTTTCGCGCTTTATTATTTCGCGATACCTATAAAATGCGTGTGCATAAAATGACAATAAAATGTTCATTTACTTGTTACAAAGTATCTTTTGAAACTTCCGTGTAATATCACTTGACACTTTTTTTTTCTCTTACACTATACGTTTTATTCGCGCTAATCCGCGACTAATTTATGGCTGTCGTGAACAAACAAACAAATGGAATTGTTAAACGATAGACGGTGAGTGATTCACGATAGAATCGCGCGATACAATTAGAGTGCAGAGTACAAATACACTCGTAAATAAGCCGGCTCTATTTACCTTTCGGAATTTGTTGACACAAATCGAATGTATTTAAGCAGAAACTTGGACAGACTAGTTGTCGATTAATTAAAAATCGATGTCGTACATCACGAGCAAATGAAACGAAGCGTTCGAAAGATTCTCGAGAGGATATGCCTCGAGGGTGTATCTTTCGAGATGAGGTAGAGATGTAAACCCTCCGTAGACAAAAGACACTGTAATCTTTCGTAAAGAGCACATTCGTAAAAAAAATGAGATTACTACAAACAATTTGTCTTTGATTTACACGAATTCGATTTATGGCTGCAAGTTAATCCGGCTCGACGCGGCGGTTTAATAGTTTAAATTGAGCAATTTGAAAAGAAAGAATCCCACTCTTACCTCCACATTGTGCATGCGGTTACATAATTGGACCAATCTTTTGGTGCCCAACATATTTATGGTAACCGAAAGCTTCAGAGCCTCGTCGAATTTTACGGTTGCCGCTGAATGAAAGACGATCGATACAGATCGTATTAACATATTTTGATCGTCCATCGAGATGCCCAACTCCGGTTCCGTAATATCGCCAGCCACGGGTATGATCTTAGTAAGCTCGGCAGGTGAATCCCGCCGTAGTTTCTCAAAAAGCTGTCAAAAGTAATATAACTTAAAATTTTTTGAAATAGCGATTGAAATAGCAGGAGAAAGGTGATATTATTACCGGCCCGTTTAAAAGTTCCTGCAACCTCTCTTGTACATTGTGGCCCTTTTTAGGTCTCATTAAAAGGTAAATGTTTTTGATGTCCGGACACGATCTCAGTAGCTTCTCGACAAGAACCTTGCCCATGAAGCCAGTAGCTCCGGTTATGAAAATCGATCTGTCTCTGTAAAAATCCTTTACGGATGTATACTCACTGCCAGCCATCGTGGCCATATCAATTATTACGCGTCCTTTAAAAAAATATCAGGGGTTAGAAAAAGACAAAAGTACTTAATAATATATAGTTATTCATTAATTTATCTAATTATTGTGGCGAGTATCCTACCTGAATTATTTCGTTAAATCCTTGAATATTACTTTCAGGCAGAAAGTACTTTACACCTCCGTTTCCACGATAAGAGTCGCCCACGTTTCTACATTTTTTACATAAAATCACGAATGTTAGATTTGGCATTGAAAATTCATTGCAATAGTTACCTATCATTTTTTTGAAGATAAATGTATTTAAAATCTGTTGTACGAATAGAATAATATATTAAAATATCGCAATAAGAATCTGATTTTACAAATACTTGCTATTTAACAAATATTCGCGTAACCCTCGTATAAAGATAAGTATATGCACTGCTCAAAAAAATTAAAAAATCACTTTTCCGTAAATTTTTGCCGATTTTTAAACTGTAATTACTCAGTGAATAATTAACATAAAAAAAGTTCAAAAAAAAGTTTTACAGGGCAAACTCTCTACTATAAGGTGCTTTTGTTCAATTTTCACTCAGGTTAATACGCAAAAGTGCGGTCAGCTTTGAATAAGGACGTATTTAAGATATCCAAAACCTTGAAATTTGCAGTCTTTCACCGCCTAATAAAAAAATTGGAGAATTTTAAACTTTTTTTAAAACTTTTTTTTACATTAATTATTCGCTGAGTAATTACAGTGTAAAAAGCAAAATGGGCAAAAATTTACTGACAAAAAGTGATCCCCTAATTTTTTTTAGCAGTGTAGAAATATAAGGGTAATAATGTATATTTATATCAAACACATTTGATTTTACATTGCATTTTCAAGTGCACATTCCATTTCAGTCAGAGAAAACGTTACCGATATATTTTTTTTACAAAACTATATTATTTTCTTTCGCATAATTTTTCTAGTTATTTTATAAAAATATTAACATATAAAATTGTCCAAAAATCTATAATTTTTGCGAGACATTTTATTCTGATCTGTATATCTTATTTTGATTTATCTCTCATTATTCTATGCATAAAGATATTAAAGTAAGCTCATTAAAAAACGATGGAGACATTGCGAATATCTACAATATATCATAAAATATTTATTTTTTGATAATATTATTTAATCAATTAATAAATCATGAGATAAATGAAGATAAAAAATATATAGTTGCTTTTAAAAAATATACATGTGCAATTACATATCTTTTAATATAATTATGTACTTTTTACAATGTTGCTTATTTACGTATATTATATTCATATACATATATTGTTATATATGAATGTATTCTATATTAAGCACTCTTTAAGTTTTGCCCATGGCAAAGTTTTTTAAAAAATCAAAGAGAAAATAAAATATTTAAAAAAAAAGTATTACATATTTCTGATGGAAACATTGCGTTTAAATCTCTTAATGTTTCAACAACATTCCCTTACAACGAACATGTCTAATATTATCCATAAATAAATTTTGTATGTGTTTTTTTTTTTAATTTTAGAGTTGTACTTCGGTCACTGCTGTTCTTATCAGATATTGAACTTATCGATACCGATAATAATCTAACTACGTCAGTGGATGGATATCTAATCACATTTACAAAGATATAAACATGAAAATTTTACTTTCTATTGTAACGGGTAAAAGCAGTTTAATAAAATTAACAGATATAATTGTAACGAAGTTTTACTGACTGTGAACGTAAGCCTGCTACATAAAAGTATACATATGCTGTATCTACTTACGTAAAGCACACGAAAAGTACTTAAACTTATACTTATCTTAAGTGCGCAGCTTTACGTATATGCAAAACGCCTTTTCGATGCCCCGTATACTCTAAAAACGTACGGCTTTGCATATCTGTAAGAGGCTTTCTCTGACTCTTTTGGTCCTTCTTTCCCTTCTGATTGAATGTCCAGAAAGGGAAAAATATTCAGAAAAATACTCAGAATGCTACGAAAAATTGCGCATTCAAAAGATTAAAAGTGTTATACTTATTTTAAAAGTACACTTAATGTTATTTTGAAAAATTCTTGAAAAGCCACTAATTCTGATATACAAAGAATAAATAATCTCTTTTCAACACAACTCACATATCATTAGGGTAACTCGACTTAATATCACTAAATCAATCATTCGAATATTTACTTATCTAATCACTGTTAGACTTTTCTTATCGGTATCAATACATTTAATATATTTAATATAGAAACGCCAGTAACCGAAACAGAATATTAAAATAACTAAAATAAAATATACAAATCATTGCTGAATAGCATTTTTCATTAAAATTAAAAATCTGACTAAACAATTATGAAAAAGACATAAAAGTTTTGCCAAAAACTTTTTTTATGTATCTCATCGTTTCGACGGTATAATTGCTTAAAATCAAGTGTAAGCGTTACCTTTGAAGAGTTGTTATACTCCTTAAACCTCAAACGGGCAAAAAATATATGTGTGTGTCTCAGATTTTTAAGAACATGTTTCAAAAGAGATCAAATCAGTTCCAGACAGATATAACACGTCTCTTGACTCTCTTGTTAGAATAATAAGAATCGATCTTTTTGAAGAAAATGCTTCATATCCTTGCAAAAAAGCAGTTATGAAAAAATATGACTTTTTTTTACCCACTTCACAGCACATCTGAAGCTTATAAAAATCGGTGCACTTAAATATTTTCTCTCACAAGAATAGGATTGGATGCGATCTCGCGAAGGGGTAAAATAAAGGACAAAATTAATTAAGTAGTGTAAGAAAGAATAACGTAACATATTCAATAATTTATTTCAAAGATTCTAAATTCAACATTTAAAGGATAAAATGAGGATGTAATAAAACTTAAACTCAATATAGCGCGTAATTGTAAGGGAAAGCTTGTTTCCTTATGTTCTCACATGTTTTTATTTTCAAAAAAGAAGTTTTTAAGAATTATTGTAATCTCGCAAGTCGACCGATTGTATCTGACATGTCCTCTCTCAGTTTTATTCCCCACGAAGACGGGAATAGAACGGCCAAAATATCAGATCGCGCGAGAAAGAAGAATCTTATAGAATGCGCGGAATAGAAGCGGCGAAACACTCTGAAGGATTTTACTTATTAATTAACGTACTTTACCTGTTCTATTCGGAGTGACTTGGCCGATTCTTCTCCGGTGATCGCTTCTATTTATTCGACTCTTGTGAGAAAACGACGGAGCGGCGAGGACGACCCTCAAAGAAAGGGATGCGGCACTTGCGAACGGCGCGACGTCTCCTTTTCGCACACGTATACGTCGTACCGTGATAGTTCAAGCGGCTTGCGATCAGATCCAACATCCGTCGAATTCATGTCGCGTCCCTTGCAGGTACGAACTCGTTTCTGTGTACAGAAAATAAGCGAGATCTTTTTCTGATTGTGAGATTCTGGATTTGTAGGGTAAACTCGGGTAAGATGGCCAACCTATGTTTTCTTTCAATCTAGCTCGCCATGAAACATCGAATGAACATTGGGTTGGCCATCTTTCCTGTATGGCCAGCTTACCCGAGTTTACCCTATGCGCACGCATTGGTTAATGCAATTATGTGTCTTTTGTACGTAATTAAATTTTATTTATGAGATTTTCTATGATATTTTCAACGATCTTTATATGAACAATGAGATTAGCAGCGCAAGTTTTTTTACTATAAAATTAATATATAAATTAATATAGGAATTTTAAAAAGAAAGCTTCTTGGCACATCATTTTTTTTTAATTTTTGAGGTAAATATTAGTCGAAAATGTCGAAATACTCTTGTACACAGTCCCCTTTCCTTCTCACGTTGCAATAAGATATAAAACAAATATTTTACGAGATATTCTGCGATACCCGCTTCGCTTTTCAATAATTTTTAATATAGCTTTATGCATAGCATAATAAAATGAGCAGCGCGAGTTATGTAGAGTTAATACTGTAATTAATTAATTAATTAATTAATTCAACATAGAAATTTAAAATACTATAACCGTCTACAATAACCGTAAGAGTATGCAGTAACCTATTGCATGATTAATGGGATTTTTACAATTCAAGAATAATCGACTGTGGTTGGTCAATAGCTTACTGCTTGTGTCTTATTGCATACTCTTACGACTATTGTAGACGGTCCTTAAGGCCGGTTCTACAATCAGAGTCATATATCGGAATCGTATGTCGAAACGCAGCCGATGGTCCAATGAGAAAAACTCGTTTTCAAAAAAGAAATTGACGCTATAAATACTTCAAAGCATTCCTCTTCTCCTTTCTTTCAACGAAGAAAGAAGGAGAAGAAGAACGCTTCAAAGTATTTGTAGCGTCAAGTTGACCGTAGCCTAGGTACAAGACTTCAAAATTGTCTGGAAATGCTTATTTTAAATAATTAAATATGTCAATATAAAGAATGTTACTTTTTAATATAATTTATTTGCCAAGAAAAGCGCGTTTTCCTTTTTTACTGTATATATAATTAATCCTCGGGATATAAATTATGTTGCGTGCAATTTCAGAAAGCGCATGCATATCAGTTTAAAATCAGGAGCTCGTGATACAAAGTTAAATAATGAACGCGCAAGAGTTTGGTCGTCGACCTCTATGCGTTCGACATTAAGAGTTGATAATATCATTAAGAATCGCACGAATCACCATAATGCGCGAACGCTAGAAACA